CCGTCCTGTGTTTCAACTTTATCTGATGTTTTGCAAATAGCCTAGTTTTTAAGTTTGAAATTTAAAAAAAAATATTGTCACAGAAATTATTTGCGACAGCTTGAAATACAATGAATGGACAATAGTCGCCTACATGATTTCTCTGCTGCAGAAAAAATACAGTAGTTTAGCAGCCCTCAAAAGCAGTGAAGAGCGTGAGGGTGTCAAAGTAAAATTTTACCACAAATTCATCAAACTCGAACCAGCTCTGACTGAGTCTTAGTGCTCCAGATTGACCAAAAGCTGTCAAAACCTTAAGTAAATTAATCATGCGCATTATTAGGCTACTAAATCTACTACTATCATACTATGTACTGTAGACAGAGCCTAGATCTAGAGTGTTGGTCATTATTATTTTTTGGAAGTGAGAATTCCCACCCGGGTCGGGTTACTTATATCGTCTTTCCTACCTATCAAGATGTAGTTTTATAAGACGTGATACAGGCTGTAGGCCGACCTATAAACCTGGGGTGAGAATATTTCCACAGGTGGATCTAAGTACTAGATCTAGATCTCTAGACTAGCACGCCTCTACAATTTTATGCTGGGTCTGGAAACATTGAGCACATTCAAATGAGAGTGCTAACGTTAAGGGGGAAAAATGTCACTTTTAATACTACATGATAAAAAATAAGCTTGTTCAATAGTTTTGATTACCATTGTGCAGGTACAAAGAACAATTTGAGTGCAAAACATTCGGAAATTGACCTATATTATCCCCTTTCGAACCTCAGGTCATTCAAAACAACAAGAGCGTCTAGAAAGGTTATAATTCAAATGGGCGTAACTTCTCGTAATATCTTATCAGCTTGTGAGAGGTGGTTAGTCATATTTTATAAGAAAGCTATGAAAGATAGAGCGTTATAAATTTTCATCGAAGTGGCTAGCCGTACCTGAGATTAAGTACGGCTAGACTGCCAGTCTAGCCGTACTTAGATCTAGGTTTAGCCCTATCGACTCAAACTGTTGAGTACACAGGTCTCATTAGATCTAGATCTAGTAATTATTCAGGTTTAAAATACATGCAAGTCAGTAAGGCACCTTTTGGTTTTATCTGAAATACAAATACTTTAGGCATTGCAAACTAAAAATTTCATATACAATTCAGCCATTAATAATAAGTACGGCTAGCCAAAAAGTCTAGCCGTACACTTATAAGTACGGCTAGACTGGCAGTCTAGCCGTACTTATGTTCTAAAGGCGCTATTAGCATAGAAAACAGGTCTCATTAGTAAATATATAAATACATGCACTGACATTAAGGCACTAAAAATTTATTTACAATTCAGTAGGCCCTTTTTTTTGGTCAGTCTAGCCATCATATTAAAAAAATAAAGTACCGCTAGCCCAGCTGTCTAGCCGTATTTAAAAGTTAAGTACGGCTAGCCAACCAGTCTAGCCGTAAGTGTACGGCTAGCCTAGAAGTCTAGCTAGCCTCTTCCTATTTTCATCATCGATTAACACACTTCCACGGTATTCATGGCCAAAACACATGTTTCCCGGCGTGTGCGATGATGTACACACCAACAGTGACAGTACACACTGAGTGACCATGGTGGCCTGCCCGGAACGGCCGACGTAATTGGTTGCTGATAAGATTCGCATCTCAGCACAGGCGCAAGACAAAAGTTAAGTTGTACCCCTATGACATCTAGATATCTAGATCTAGAATCTAGATCTAGATTCCAGATCTAGATCTAGATCCATAGTATCTAGATCAAGATCTAGCTCTATCATGCTATGTCTACCCACACAATTACATTCGTTTTTAATTTCGAAGTGTATACAGACCCGGTAACCGGGAACAAAGTCACGAAGTATACAGACCCGGTAGGGGAACTCTTTTGTGATTCCGGGAAGTTTCAGCCCCCAGACCCGGTAGAAATCTAGTGTGTGTGTGTGTGTGTGTGTGTGTGTGTGAGAGAGAGAGAGAGAGAGAGAGAGAGAGAGAGAGAGAGAGAGAGAGAGAG